ACCTCTTCTAACCGGTTCGGTAGATTTGACGAACCGGTTCTACCGAACAGGTGCAAACCGGTAGGAACCCACCTCTGCCCTTAGTCCTTCTTTTCATTAAAAAAGTACGAGACTGAAACAAATGGTCACCGCTGCTACAAACCAAAACCCCAAAAGATATTTACTTTTCAAGTTGTGATAAACCGGGGAATTTCCACAGATGGGTCATCAAGTCATTTTCGACTCCTAGCAACGGCATCGATGAGATTTTCCCCCGTGACAATCTTGTCTCCAACCTGGTAGATGCCTATCCTGGGATCTAAAGCCGATCATTTTATATATATATATATATATATATGCCCTGGTGAATTCTAGGATAGGGAAGAAATATAATCACACCGTTGTGTCACGCAAGAGGCTTTAAAGTCTAAAGTGGAAAAGAATCTTGAGCCTGGATCTGGCCAAGAGCCATTTAGTCAATATTGTGTGCCACATAGCGACCAGTCAGATAAAATCTTGGGAGCTAAGCAGCATCGATCCAACGGTGACAGCTTCTTAGCTGTGTAATTCTATGGCCACTGAATCAAAACGCGATGCTGCCTCTCAGGTTAAGTCTCTTAAGAAGCTAAGATACAATAGTGTCCTCCTATTTCCTCAGCTAGGAGCTGTTCTATTCACCTAATAGTTTGGGATATCCTTTTTAAAAAAAGCACCTTTTTCTAAGTCTATCTTTCTTTTTTTTGACCCAAATTCACAGTGGTCTCCACGGATGTATATACAAAGCTATCAGTAAAAAAAATTGGGTTCATTTTTTTTATTGGTTTATCAAAGCATAAAATACAAAACTGTGAAGAAGAATGAAAATGAAGGAAAAATTGGGGAGGAAAAAGAGGGAGAAAAAGCATGGACTTCCGACTCCTTTTGGTGCAACGTGAAAACCTCCATTTTTTGCTTTAATATAATAATATATACTAGCCATTTCTATAATGTAACACCAAACCTACCTAATCAGCAAAAGCCCAAATCAAAGCTTCATAAGGATTTCAAGCATGGAATTTCATGACTGCAGCAGTCACAGATTCGCTGACTTTCATATTAAAGTATGATTCCAAATTCCTCTCCTCAGCCAGCAAGTTCAGATTCTTTCATTTGATCTATCCATCCATCCATCTCTCCTACCTAGCTCTACTTACCTATCTGCATATCTATCATCTATTTCTTCTATCTCTCCTCCCATCCATCCATCCACTATCCATCCATTTAGCCTATCCTTTCTTCTATTTACCTACATCTATCTACCTATCTCTGTATCTATCATCTATTTCTATCTCTCCTTCCATCCCCCCTCTCCCTCTCTATCTATCTATATCTATCATCTATCTATCCATCTATCTTATCTCTCCTGTCTTCTATTTACCCACATCTATCTACCTACCTGCGTATCTATCATCTATTTCTCCTCTTATCTCTCCTTTCATCTCTCTCCTTTTCTTCTATCTACCTCTATCTATCTGCGTATCTTTCCATTTCTCCTCCTCACCTTTCATCTATCTATCTATCTATCTATCTATCTATCTATCTATCTATCTATCTATCATCTATTTTTCTACCTACCTCTACCTACCTCTATCCTTTTATCTCTCTTTTCATACCTACCTCTACCTACCTATCTCCTTTTATCTCTCCTTTCATCCAACTTATCTATCTATCTATCCATCCATCCATCCATCCATCCATCCATCCATCCATCCATCCA